ATAAACTAGACAAACCAGGCACCATCTTCTGAAGCTTGGATAAGCTTGGATGTCCTAAACGTCTATGAATTAGGTCCGGAGGATCTGTAACTAGACATGCCTTGGAGGATTTTAGGGAGTTAAGGTAGTAAAGCCCTTCTGATTCAAGTCCTGTTCCAATCGTCTGCCCTGTACTGCGGTCCTGCATAATTAAAAGAATCATCAATAAAATATATACCACAATGGAGGGCACGAGTCAAACGACTAACAGATGCAAGATTAAAAGGACAGCCAGGGACATAGAGGACGGAATCTAGAGTGACAGAGGGTAGGGGATTCGCTTGTCCAACTCCTTTTGCTTTGGTTTGAGACCCATTGGCTAAAGTAACAGTGGGAAGAGACTGTGAATACGCAATATTTGACAAAAGTGATTTATTACCAGAGATATGATCAGAAGCGACTGAGTCCACAACCCATTGTCCAGGAGGACTAGACTGGGAAACACAAGCAAAAGAATTACCAGCAACAGAAGTATTAGTCTGAGCAACAGAAGTATTAGTCTGAGCAACAGAAGCTACTTGTGGAGATGTCTGCTTACTTGCTCGATACTGAAGGAACTCATTATACTCCCCTTCAGATAAAGAAAATCCCTGGTTACCTGTAGTCTCAGTCTGAGCAACATAAGCATTTTTGGTTGGGCGGCCATGTAAAGAATGGCATACATCACGAGTGTGTCCAAGTTTATGACAATAAGAGCACTTGAGTCTATATCTTCCAAAACGACCTCCTCCTCGTCTATTCTCCATAGTATGAGATGCCCGATTGTCCACTGATTGGGATACGAGGACAGAGGAGTCAAGTGTCTGTGATGAGCTCACTGGGTGACTAGGTGCTGCAGCAAGGCGAAGTAATCGAGAGAATAATTCATCAACTGTGGGGACGGTTGGACTAGCCAAAATCTGGTCACGTACTGAATCAAGGTCATTAGGGAGCCAGCGAGTGTAAGAACTAGAAACATCTTCTGTCGTTGCTCTTGTTGTTTTTCAATACTAGCAGAAACTGGCATCAACGTCTCAAATTCTTCCATGACTGCCTGAACTTGTCCCAAGTAAGTAGACATATCTAATTCCTGTTTCTTCAAGCTTGTCATTCGCGATATTACATCATAGAAACGAGATATGTCATTAGTGTATAGATTACGAGCCTTTTCCCAAACTAAATAACATGTCTGGAATGGACGGAACAAGGGCATCAACTTGGAATCAATAGATCGCCACAGGATACTACATAACTGAGCATCGACCTTCTCCCACTGTGTTTTGGCCTTTTCATCACCTTCGCTAGCCTTTTTTGTTAAATGATCTTGAACTCCTTGACCTTTACACCACAACTCGACAGATGAAGCCCAATCTAAGTAGTTTGAACCTCCCATTAAAGGTTCTGAGGTAATCATAACACCGGAACTGCCAGAACCCGGGTTTCTAGACCCGAAAGCATCGACTCCCAAAGACATGGTTGGATTATCACCAAATAACAAAAAGAATCAACTGAAAATTCTCTGAAACAGATGAAGAAAACACTGTGTTTGCCGGAAAAGTACTGTAGCTGCCGGAAAAATCAGTGTAGTCGCCGGAAAAACTCAAAGTGGTCGGAATTGAAAAATAAAATTATGGGTAGGCTCGGAATTTGAGGGCGATCCAACTGCCCTGAAGGAACTTCGTCAGAAAATGGCCGGAAAGTGGTGCACGCGCCGGCGCGTGGGCTCACGCGCGTGAGCTTCTGGTGGCGCGTGGAGGCGCGTGGGGTACTGTTTGCCGGAGATTTTTTGTGGGGTTTGGTCGCCGGACAGTGGCGACTCTTGTGGTAGTGTTGGATTTTGCACAACACTGACAGAGACAAAGCAGACGCAAACAGGCTTGAAAAAGTCGCCGGAAAAAAAAGGGTTCCGGTGACTGATTTCTCTTCCCGGAATCGCTGGAATTTATGCACAGCGATAAATCTCTCACAATTGCTCTGATACCATGTGAGAATGCACGGGAGAAAATATATTATTGATGTATTGACATATGTTACAATGAACCCTATATATATACACACACATATCATGTCCTACTCCTAATATATATTGGATTAGGGTTATTTATTTACTCCTATTTACATGACTATTCTAACAGTAATCAAGCTTGAAAGGTACAAAAACCAGATCTAGCCATCATATAACAAGCCTGCAAGATTAGAGACCAGTTTAGGCTAAAATGTATAGTCCATATGACATGAAGGTAACTTCATACTGGAGTCCCACTTTCCCCACTTCACTATGCTAGAACAAGAAATACACTTTCAGAGGCATGCCCTCTCAAAAAAACCAGAGCCCAGTTCCACAGAATGTTTTGTGCACATGACACTAACCAGGAATTGTGTCACTTAGAAGTGAGATAAGAACAAGGTCTCACAAACAAATGTCCTACCTGAACATGTCATTGTAGGCATGCATAAACTAAAAAATAAAATAAGATATACCAGAGAAGGAAGATAATAGGAATTCGAAGATCAGATGTGTGGTTCTAGCAAATAGGGAAAAACTAAAATAGAGACCAAATGATCAAAAGTGGGGCAAAAGAGTTGTCAGTTCTTGTAGCTTTCATTCCGGAAAAAGCAAAAAGGAAGTCGAGTGTCATGAATTTATAAATAGCTTGACAAACTTTTACCTGTCTGCATTTATTAGCCAATCGAAAACAAAATTTTCAAGCCCAATCCAAAGCTTCTCTGCAGTTTCGAATAGCACATTAACTTAATAAAACTTGACTAGACGTCTAGGAAAAGGAAAATTTTGTTGATGTCATAAAATCTACAAATGTACCTGTAAGCCCTTCTTGTGGACAACACTCAACGAAGCGAATACATGCAGAGCAAAAGATGCATTCCACAGCAAGCTAAACCATCCAAGAAACTAGTCAGATGCTTAGAACAGAAATATAGGAGTATTTATTATGTGATACAGTTTGGTACAGTTCAGGTACAAACATGAATAGTTTACTAAATTATCAAAACTGCATCTTCATTTCCTTTGTTATGTCAATTGAGTCTTAAAAATTGTACTTCCAAATAAGAACTTCTGTTGAAACTTTTGAGTCCATTTTCTCATAAGTAAACTGTCTTCTTTGTAATTTTCTTCAAACTTCCTACAGCCAACCCCATAAGGATCTAAATTGGAAAGCTAAGTTCCTGTAAAGGTGAAAGGATGGATATTCTACTCACCTGAAAAAATCATAAAGCAATCACTTACTAACAATCTCAAGCCTGCAGGTATAAGTCTTCCGTTGCATGTAACAAATAATATAAACATATTCTAAGTGATCAGTGAATGGAGAGCTTTGTGCAGATTTTCATTAACAATGGGTTGGGTTGAATCTTAGCTGATACATTGAACGGATAGGTTACTAAAATTGTTTTGACGACTAAGTTTTGATGACTAAGAGGAAATAACTCGAACGAGATATGCAAGTTTGTTTTGCTTTACAAATTTGTCTTGAACAAAATGTGAAACTTTTTGGAAGAATATATTTATAATTGGGAGTCTCTTGTACCATATAGCTTTCTAGGCTCATCATTATGAAGCAATATGCAAATAGATTGGAGAACTATATCAAAATAATTGTATTCTTCGCACAGTTTAAATTTGCAGGTTGCTGGTTAACTTTTCCTTTTTTTTATCCAAAATATTTATAATGAGCGATCAATAAAATGGAGTATTCACACTTTGATGCAACTAATGGATTGAAGAAAATGGCCGTCGTACATATTAACTCTGACAAAGGAAGCTAGCTAGAATCAACGCATAATAAATGTTAGAGGATGTCAATTCATAAATACTTGTGGTGATTTGCTCCCAAAATAGGTTCGAGCCAATAAATGCATGTGATCTTTGCATAAATAGTCAAACAATTGCAATTTCCTAATTTCTTTTTTTTTAATAACCTGCGGTGTTCGGGCTAGCTTGCGCGCCTCATTTTCCTAATCTCTAACCATCTTTTCTAGCTACATCTGTAAGTTTCATAATTCACTTCTTCTTTTTCCCTACATTTGCCAGAATGTGCAAGTAGCACATGTTGAGGATTATGAGAAGGTCGCTTGAGATGGCTTGGTCATGTCCTGGGTCAACCTCCAAATGCACCGGTCTTTAGGTGTGAAACCATAATAAGTGAAAGTGTTAAAAGAGAACGAGGTAGACCTTAAATCACATGAAAGGAAATTGTCTCAAAAGACCTACAATCTCTTGGAATCATTGAAGACTTAGCAAAAGATAGGGCACCATGGAAGAAATAGATCTATAAAAGGCGATACTAATTAGTTGGGAATATATTTTAGCCATCTTAATACGTTTACTTTATGTCCTATGTGTTATAGCCTTATAGGTCTTCTTTAGCTCTAATAGAGATTCTTATGCCGGTAGTAAGTATGAATAATTTCTATTACTTTTCATTTTTATTTTTATTTTATATAATGTTAGCATAAGATGAATTTAATTGGAGAACATGATCAGTGAAGAGTCATATAGCTGACCCTAACTTGTTTGTGACTAAGGCGTTGTCGTTGTTTTATATAAAGAACATTCTGTCAGCACTTGAATGCAAAAGCATTGTCAATACATGGAGATGAAGTGATGTAAAAGTGAGTTAGTAGATTACAAACCTTTCTCTGAAATGTTGATGCGTCATTTGCACCTTTGGGAGATTCGCTGTAACCAGCATAAGAATAATGATAATCATACAACTGTTAATAAAATAATTTCAACAATTAGAAACCTTAATATAACTCGTTTTATGAAGGTATTAAACAAGGAAAGGATATAAACAGAAGTTCTTTCATGACAAATTTCGTCAGAGTTAGATACCATACCCCGCAACAAGTATGCGACCCACTACATAAAGTGCAAAGAAGCTTCAAGAAATTTGAAGCAAAATTCAGGTGGTAACTTTTTCGATTAGTGAGGGAGCAGCTCCAATGTGGAATAAAGTTGGTCACAGGAGAAATACATAGAAAAATAATACACTCCATAAGACCCAATACAAGTGATTTATATTTGCTCTCAAGGATTCACCATCTAGAAGGATATCAACTGGATTTGGGATCAACTCAAAGTAGGCAACTACGGAAAACTAACTAAATTTTGAGTGAAATATTGAAATGACTGCCTCCTTCTTGAAACTTTTTTTTAATAAAAAATACGCCCTCACCCCTCTCAATATCATGTCAGAAGGTGGAGTATGCCAAGCGTTTTTCTTAGTCACTTTTTTTAAACTCTGGAATTTTAGATCAGTAACCTTTTCACAAAGTCAGCTCAGTGTCAAACATTTTGAGAACTTCTCAATATGAGAGGTGTGGGGACACAGAGGGCAACGAGATAGAGTAATAATAGTGACAACAATAATTGACGGCTAAAAGGTTTCTGAAGAAAAGCATTTAAAAATCCATTATTAGGCCTACTGTAGTTCTGATACCTCCCCATGAATGCTTAGGTTTCTGAAGAAAAGCATTTAAAAATCCATTATTAGGCCTACTATAATTCTGATACCTCCCCATGAATGCTTACTCCCAAGGAAAAACAGCATGTGCAGGCCAAAATACTCAAGAATAAAGGTATGGCAATCTCTTAAGTGGCGATTTTCTCCACACTTTTCGCTTCTCAATCAGTCTCAACTGAGCCAGCAGAAATAAAACTACGTAAAGCTGTATCTATTAAGAAACAATGACTGAAGTTGTCATGCTGTATTCTTCTGAATAGGAAAGTAGCTATTGGCCTGTTGGACAGAGCGATGATAAAATTAGACATACATTTACCAAACGATTTGTTGATGCATGACGGGTCTGCTAGTACAACTGTCAGAATGTATTTGCATGAATTGGAAACGCATGACTAAAAATATACATCAATTTGAAACAGAAATGTACCTTTCTCTCCATCTTAGAAGAGCCTCTAGAAGAGGACCAGGCGTGTGCCGAGCAATCATAGCTAATGAATCCAATACTTGCTCATAGGCTGGATCTGATGGCCGAAGGTACTGGCCATCCTGTTTAAGTAAAAGGAATATCAGAATAATGCACAAACCAAGTAAAAATAAAATACTCATACTCAACATACTCAATAAACCCAGTGGGAAGGTGGGGTCTATGGGGTCTGTATACGCAGACCTTACCCCTATAAGTAAAAATAAAATAATAACAAAATAATACTATCTTTTTAACATCTCACAATTTGTTTTCGCATCAGAATGCAGAAAAGAATCACAGCAATGAAAAGCAGAGCAGATAACTGTAATACACCAGTTTATTGGTGCCAATTCACGAAGACTATGCTTCCTCATTTCTCTTTCTGGTCCTAGGGAATAATTTGCTATCTTAGCCTTCTTATGAATAAGCATTACAACACAGGCAAGCATCTCTCCTAGGAAGCTCCGAAGCTTATCTAGGTGAGACTAATATATACAGATGATATGATCCAGAAAATGATATCATCTTGACTTCACTATTGGTCTTACAGCAATTGTGAATCATCTAATTTTGATGAGGCACATGGCAAATTAACTATCTCAATCGTGGAACAAAAAGTATAGCATCAAAAATTATGTTAATGCACAAATACACAATGCAATATTCTCTGTCCCAATTTATGTGACTGTACTTGATTGAAAAATAATGGTTGAAACTGACATAGTATACTAATGAACACTTTACATGAAAATAGGGAAAATTGTATAAAAGAGTACCTGAGCTTGAGCAGTTTCAATGCGACGCCTAGCAAGCGGAAGGAACCTCTGCAGCAATGCATCAACAATCAGCTTCGCTGCACTTCCTGCTTTCATTTTCCCCCAATTTCACAGCAATCGGTATCAATTACAATCTGAGTATCATTCATAAGACTAAAAAAATTCAATTTCTGTAAATTAGGATTCAAATTTCTTCATCTAAATACAATTTGATACAGGGATTGGCCCCAATCTCAGAATTCTTCTTCGTCTTCCATTTAACACTTTGGGTTTTCTGAACTTTATTGTTCGACAATAGCGGAACCGGTTAGAAAAATTCAACTGTTTCTACCGGTTGAGCTCTGTTATTTTCTTGCTTTGCGCCTGCTGATTCGAGTATTCGACTTAGCTGTAGACCAGTTCTGTGTCCTTTTCTCTCTTTTTTTTTCTTTTTTCTTTAATTTTTTTTGGGAGAAATGTCAAAATATCCACTTTACTATCCGGAATTATAATTTAAGGTCATTCATACCCTTGATTAGCAAATCATTCACATTTGTCATTGACCTTGAATGGATTTGACGTGGTAAAAGATTTTGGAATAATTGTCCAAATTTACTCTCTATTTTTAACTATGAAAAAGGGCTAAAAATTCCCCTTAACTATTAAAAATAAAGCAAATTTATTTATCTTGCATTTGATCTCAAACATGTCCTTATTATTAGTGATTTATTCATATTTGCCCCTCAAGTATTAAAAATAAAATAAATTTGTCCTCCGTTTGGATCCAAATATACCCTTATCAGGAGTTGATCACTAGTTCGTATTTGCCCCGCAAAACTAACAAAATTTATTTTTTTGATCAACCATTTTATTTTAGGGTCAACATTTTTATTTGACTACTATTTCTAGAACAACGAGACAATAAAAAGAAGGAGAAAAAAGAAGAAAAACATGTACTGTTCTTTTTAAAAACACATATCAAAAGCAGTGATTCAGAAAATATTTTGCTTTGCTAAAAAAATAACGAATAAGTCTTTTCTCTTTTAGCTTTGTGAAGATTAATACTCTTTTATGCAATTATAACTATATGTTGGTTCTTATATATATATATATATATATATATATATATATATATATATATATATATATATATTAATATTTTATTATGAACTTAGTTACTTATTGTATATTTACTTAAGGTCGTTGTAGAAACTCATAAACTTCAAATCTTGTATCCACCTCTAATCTTAGCCTCCACTATTATGCTATCATTTTAAATATATCCCTCAATTGGACGGACTGCCACATGCCCTCATAGTATTAAAATGTCTCATCCCTTTTTTTGTACTCGATTCATTTTCCCTCTACCCATAAACCAACCCAAAGTCACCCTCTTTTTTAATTTTTTAAAAAAAAGCCCCAAACGAGTGGAACACAAACGACAACTTGTACGGTGATTGGCTTCATGTTATCAACTTCTAGGACAAATTTGTGCCATTGACATAGAAGAAAGGATACTTCTCTTTGACTCATCATTTACTGCACTAAAAATTTCACCTCCCATGGTTGATTATAGTCTGAGCTCTTTTATTAGCGAAAAACGGCTAGTGAAATCATGTGGGAAGTTGATGGGGCTCTGGAGAAGACTAAGGTTTATAGGTTAAACTAGGGAGAAAAAGCTTGGGTTCAAGTGAAAAGTTTGGGCAATCAAATATTTTTCATTGCTTGAGATTGCTCGCTCTCTGTTTTTGCTCAAGAATTTCCAGGATGTAAAGATAATTGTGTATACTTCAAATAATTGATGATGAAGAAAAAAACAATGATGAGTGCTTGGGATTTTGTGGACCCAAGATTGAAGTTTTTGACCTCGATACTAGAAGGATGGGAGGAATAACGTCATTTTCAGAGCATGTTAAGATATTCTGATCTCCACCTAAATGCCTTGAGCATCCCAGTCTCCCCACATTAGTATTTTTTTTAGGACAATAATCTGAAGAACTAATCATGGCCCTAACTTTGATTTGTCTTCCTAGCTGTATTAGTGTCTTTAAGCATGTCTGTCAATTAGACATCTTCTTCTATATGTTCAATGCTTGTTTTTTTCTCAAAGTTAATACTATCTCAAAATTTTATAGATGAAGAGGAGAAGTGAAATGAGGTTAAAATAGTTTAGGGTTGCTTTTTTAATATGAGGTCACTTTGGATCGGGTTATGGGTAGAGAAAAAATAAATCGGGTTTAAAAAAAAAAAGATGAGCCCTTTTAATCCCGTAAGGACATGTGATAGTCTTTCTAATTGGGGGATATATTTGAATGATAGTATAACGGTAGAGTTGAGATAACTAAATAGCGTAATGGGGGTATTCTTAAACCTTTTTCGATAGTACAAGGGTATATTTGATCCCTTTCCGGTTTAATTATTGTAAAATTTCAAAAGAGTAAAAATATTAAACAGAAAAAATAGGAATAGGATAATTATTTTTTTACCAAAAATTTTTGGGGTTAAGATTATTGTCTTGCAAGATGGCTCTCCATCTTAATAATAAAATATGTTTTTAATGGATGAAAATAGGCGAAATACATAAACAATCCCTTTAAGTTGTCCTCAACGATCAGACAAACACCTCAACTGAGCCTATTTTCTGTGGGACAAGGCTTCAATAAAGTAAGTCAACTAAACACCACATACTGACATGGCATATTGTGTGTTTCTCAATCCAATTTCAGCGCGTGAATGACTTGAATTACTAACTAATGTTTACCCCAACCCCCACACTACTGATCCTTCAGCCAACCATCCCAAAATGTCACTCCGACCACTGTACCACCCAACAAACAACTCACCATCCACCGACGAAAAGGCATTCAGCCACCTTCCGAGAGACCAATGTGGCTTTGTAAAAAAAGTAGCTAAATTGCTCATGTAGAAAAGAAGTTGTACGTGAGGGATGTTGTGGTCATTAGCGGCGTCGGCGAGGGCTATGGCGAAAGTGGAGGTGGTTGGGAGAAGAATAAAGAAGATATAATCAGTAACGGAGAGAGGCGTGGCGGGGAAGGAAGAGGGATGAAAGGACTTGGGTTGTTGTAGATTTTGGTTTTTGAGCAGGCGTGGTGGGGAAGTAAGAGGGATGAAAGGTCTTGGGTTGTTGTAGATATTGGTTTTTGAGCAAAACCCGATGTTGGGGGCGATGGAGGAAGATGACAGGGCTAGGTGGCGGCGGTACACCGGTCAATTGTTAATGCTCAATGAAGGAGAGGGACCCGAAGGAGATGAATCTGGGAAAAAAAACAAAGAGGGAGGGTGTGAAAATGAAAATGGTGATTAAGGAGAAAGAGAGGAAATGGTTATTGAAGGAATCGGAAGAGAAGGACGTGACCGGTGGTTCTAGGTATTATTGTTCATAGTTATTGTTTTCTTTCTTTTTTTTAGTTATCATTGTTTTTCTTTTTTTTGGTTAAATATTAGGTGGCAATTTTAATTAAAATTACACGTGGCATTTTCTCATTTGTTCATTTGATATGAATCCGAGAGTGTATTTCACGCGAGGTATTGGCCCCATACTTCTTTGATCTCCCTTTCTCCTGACGTAAAAAAGTGACACAGGCTTGGCCAGCTTTTTTCAAACTTGACGGTATAGTTCCCTGCTACTTCTGTAAATACGCCTTGGATGAGCCTAACTGGTGGGCTGACAAGGTCGGGTGTTTAGTTGACTTACTTTATTGAAGGCTTAAAGTGACCAACTGAAAATGCGCTCAGTTGAGGTGTTTCCTTGATTGTTGAGGACAACTTTTATGTATTTCGCCATAAAAATAAGAAGTTGGAAGTCTGTTAACTTTAAGGGGCAAATATGAGTTAGTCCACTCATGATAAAAGGCATATCTAGGACCAAATTCAATAATGGAGGGAAATTTTGTTCTATTTCTCGTAGTTGAGATATAAATATGAACCAATCCACTAATGTTAAGGACATCTTTGAAATCAAATACAAAATAAGAACAAATGTTCTTTATTTCCCATAGTTAAGGAGCATTTTTTGCCCTTTTTCATTTTAACTACAATTTAAAATTATTCTTCATTATACTTTAGGGTAGAGTTCTGTCGGAATCATGGGCATACAATTTGATAAAGGTAATGACATACTTTTGATAATCATAATAAGCATATATAAGAGGCAGATATATATAATGCATTTCGTTCTACCACTCATAGTGCTCTTAAACTTAATAAGGCCTAATTTTACTAATATGGGAAGTTACACACATAGAAGAATATTTAATTTAGTAATTTATCTCTAAAAGCTGAAAGCTCCAATCCGCAAGTGTACAACTATTAGAACAACGATACTTTCTCCATTTCTAAATTTTGAACCCTAACCTCTTTAATAAAAGATTGAGAGATAGTCAATTCTCCCACCACAACTCTTAGAGGGGCATTTGCATCTACACCCGCTTTTTATGTCATATTTTAACTTGTGCCCGCTTTGCAAAAAAAATTGCAAGGTACCCGCTTTTTCGCATAACTTCAGCACACGGGGCTGAAGTAGCAAAGGCAATCACGCAAAGCTTCAGCATTCTAGTAGCCGGGCCTGAAGTTCAGCTCTAGAGCTGAAGTTTTTATTTTGTAACTAGCGAACTTCAGCTCTAGAGCTGAAGTTTTTGTGTTGTAACGGGGAAACTTCAGCTCTAGAGCTGAAGTTTTTGTGTTTTAACTTCAGCTCTAGAGCTGAAGTTTTTGTGTTGTAACTGGGAAACTTCAGCTCTAGAGCTGAAGTTTTCTTAAAAGAGATCCTTTTTTCCTCTTGAATGTATGCTTTAACTGCAGCTATTGTATCCTCTGGTTCAACCATTACGACAAGCACGACCATCTTTAGTTCTATGATACTTGTAAACGTTTTCGAATTTCTTTTTACATTTCTTGGCACTTCTATGATAACCAAGGTCAGCCAATTTCCTGCACATAACAATGAAAACAATTGGAACAAAACAAAGATATATACAAATCTAACTAATACTTCATCTTATCTTGTAGAGTATTCATTGTATTCTTAATAAAAACAACATCTCATACTTGTATTTACCACATAAAGATTAAAACTAGAAAAAAAAGGTTAACTTTTGGACTAAAACTAATAACTGGAAGAAAAAAAAAAGAAGAAGAAGAAGAAGAAGAAAACGAAGGAGGAGAAGGAGGAGGAGAAAGGAGCTGAAGTTGTTTAAAAAGTGGGTACAAGTTAATAGTTAAAAAAAAATGAGTATAGGTTAAATGGGGGCGACCAAATAGGGCGCCCCGTGCAATTTCTACCGATATTAGCTAATTAAGCTTGTGGACTTGTGCCAGATAGGCCCACTAGGCCCACTGAGGGGCAGTATTCGTATCTAAATATTTCTATTCTGATAGCTCGAATTCAGGACCTTTAATTAAAGATTGAGGAATTTCAAGCTAAGTTTAACGTGGATTTCAAGAAATTATACTTCTCCCTTTTAAACCCCTTCACATATTATAGTTTCGCACATACGGTG